ACCACCCTGGGAGCTCAGCAGCATCCCCTGGGGTTTGGGGGTGAGGGAGCAGTGGGACTTCCTTTGGGAAGGAGCTGGGATACGGCCGAGGGGGCTGAGCCCCCCACTGGGGGTCCTGGCTGAGCAACTGTGGGGGTTCATGACCAACCCCTGGCCCTACAGCAGGGGAATGGTGGCACCCAGGGGACCCCGGTACCACCCAGTCCTTGGGGACACCCAGTGACCTGTGGCCCCCAGGGAGATGTAGCACACCTTGCACCACACCCAGCAGCCCACAGGGACCCCCAGTTCTAGGGGGCACCCATGGACAGCCTGAAGCACCCAAGGGACCCCAGCAGCCCCCTGCTCCAAGGGGCCGCTCAAGGGACACCACCCCCCAGCACCCCTCAGCTCCAAGGGGTTCCTGGAGACCCCCCAGCTCCAGAAGGAACCCAGGGGCACCCATGGACACCCTGAAGCACCCAAGGGACCCCAGCAGCCCCCAGCTCCAAGGGGGCACTCAGAGGACACCGCCCCCCAGCACCCCTCAACTCCAAGGGGTTCCTGGAGACCCCCCAGCTCCAGAAGGAACCCAGGGACCCCCAGCACCCCTCAGTTCCAAGGGGGCCAGGGATCACCAGCAGCCAAGGGCTTCCCAGTACCCCCCCAGCTCCAAGGGGTATCCAGGGACCCTCAACACCCAAGGGACCCCCAGCACCCTCGAGCTCCAAGGGTGCCAGGGACCCCCAGTACCCAGGGTCACCCAGTGCTCCCCAGCACCTGGAGCCCTCAGGGACCCCCAGCACCCAGTGGTACCGGGTGCCCCAAAGTGCTGGCCGGTGGTGGGGGGCGGGAGTGGGACCATGCTCACCCACCCAGGGGTGGCTCTGGGGCTGCGCGGGTCAAATGCCAGGGATTCAGGGCAAGGGGAGATGGTTGTGGAGGTGGGATGGGGGCAGCGGGAAGGAGGTGGGATGTGGGCTGGGCCCCAGGGGAAGGGGGGGGAGGTCAGGGCTGGGGAGGGGGCGCTGGGGCTCAGAAGAGCCCACAATCCTTGAGGTTCTCCTTGATGATGATGTCGGTGACGGCATCGAAGACAAACTTGACGTTTTCGGTATCGGTGGCGCAGGTCATGTGGGAGTAGATCTCCTTCACGTCTCGCCGCATATTCAGCTCCAGGAACTGCAGCTTGATGTAGTTGCCCGCATCGTCATAGGTGTTGGGACCTGGTAGTGAGCAGGGTCCCCTCCTGGGCTGGTGTCCCCCCACCACGGGTGCTGGCCCAGCGTTACCCAGGGCTCCCCCGGGTGGGCAAACCTTGCTTGGTCCATGAGCAAGGCTCGTGCAGCATCTCTTGCATGGGATGCTGAGGACACCTGGTGGGTGGCTGCTGCAGGGTGCTGGCACCCAACCCTTCACCACCACCCCTTCACCACCCGCCTGCACCCGATGGGGAAGCCGCTGCCACCCTCACCGTCGTAGTCGGGGAA